AGTGTACCTTTTTCCCCGCATCCTCGCCAGCACTTGTTGTTTGACTTCATAATGGCTGCCATTCTACTGGAGTGATATGGTATCTTAGAATAGTTTTAATTTGCATTTCTCTGATTGCTAGAGATGAGCATTTTTTGTATATTTGTTGATTGTATATCCTCTTCTGATATGTGAGGGGTAAAAATTTGTTCCCAGGATGTAGGCTCCCTATTCACCTCACATATTATTTCTTTTGCTGAGAAAAAAACTTTTTAGTTTGAATCCATTCCATTTGTTGATTCTTGGTTTTAATTCTTGTGCTATAGGCATCTTATTAAGGGAGTTGCAGCCTAGCCCCATGTGATGGAGTTTAGGGCCTACTTTTTCTTCTATTAGACGAAGAGTCTCTGGTTTAATCCCTAGATCCTTGATCCATTTTGAGTTAACTTTTGTACATGGTGAGAGATAGGGATTCAATTTCATTTTGTTGCATATGGATTTCCAGTTTCCCCAGCACCATTTGTTGAAGATGCTATCCTTTCTCCATTGCATGGTTTTGGCACCTTTGTCTAATATAAGATAGTTGTAATTTTGTGGGTTAGTCTCTGTGTCCTCTATTCTATTCCATTGGTCTACTAGCCTGTTTTGGTGCCAGTACCATGCTGGTTTTGTTACTATTGCTCTATAGTGTAGTTTAAGGTCTGGTATAGCAATACCATCTATTTCACTCTTCTTGCTTAGAATTGCTTTAGCTATTCTGGGTCTCTTATTTTTCCAGATGAATTTCATGACTGCATTTTCTATTTCTATGGGGAATGCCATTGGGATTTTGATCGGAATTGCATTGAACCTGTATAGTGCTTTTGGTAGTATGGTCATTTTAATAATATTAATTCTGCCTATCCATGAGCAAGGTAGCTCTTTCCATCTTCTAAGGTCTTCTATTTCTCTTTAGGGTTCTATAGTTTTCATTGTAAAGATCTTTCACCTCTTTTAGGTTGATTCCCAAGTATTTTATTTTTTTAGGATATTGTAAATGGGGGAGTTTTCTTCACTTTCTTTTCAGAGAATTTGTCACTGATAAACAGGAATGCCTTTGATTTATGGGTGTTGATTTTATATCCTGCCACTTTGCTGAATTCATTTACTAGTTCTAGAAATCTCTTGGTAGAGTTTTTTGGGTCTTCTAGATATAGAATCATATCATCAGCAAATATGCTAGTTTAAGTTCTTCTTTTCCTATAGTTATTCCTTTAATTTCTTTCTTTCATCTAATTGCTCTGGATAGTGTTTCAAGAACTATTGAATAGAAGTGGTAAGAGAGGGCATCTCTGTCTTGTTCCAAATTTTAGAGGGAATGCCTTCAGTTATTCTCTTTAGAATATGCTGGCCTGAGGCTTAGCGTAGATAGCTTTTACAATATTGAGTTACGTTCCTGTTATCCCTAGTTTTTCTAGTGTTTTGAACATAAAGGGGTGCTATATTTTGTCAAATGCTTTTTCTGCATCTATCGAGATGATCATATGGTTCTCTTTAAGTCTATTGATGTGATGAATTATGTTTATTGATTTCCATATGTTGAACCAACCTTGCATCCCGGGGATGAATCCCACTTGATCATGGTTCACAATCTTTTTTATATGTTTTTGTATCCAATTTGCCAGAATTTTATTGAGGATTTTTGCACATATATTTACTAGAGATTGGTTTGAAATTTTCTTTCTTTGAGGTCTCTTTTTCTGGTTTAGGAATCAGGGTGATAGTGGCCTCGCAGAATGAATTTGGAAGTACTCCCTCTTTTTCTATTTCCTGAAACTGTGGAGTATTGGAATTAGTTCTTCTTTAAAGGTCTTGTAAAACTTGGCTGTATATCCGTCCAGTCCTGGGCTTTTCTTGGTTGGCTTCTTCTATTTCCTCACTTTGATATTGGTCTGTTTAAGTCGTGTATATCTTCCAGACTCTATATGGGCAAATTATATGACTTAAGAAATTTATCAATGCCTTCACTATCTTCTTTATTAGAGTATAAGATTTCTTTCAAACTAATAACTCGCTTATGGAACATGAGTTTAAACCAGTTTGGAAATCCTAGTGAAGAAGGGAAAGCCCTTCCACCAGAGATAGCAACCAGGTTCTAATAAACTGAAATCTGTAATTATCTCGTCTCTGGTCTTCGTAAGGCACTACAGAAATGGGCAAGGTCAGACTTCTTATACTGGCCAGAATGACTTATTCCTGTTACAAGAATAACAGATAATGGGGAAAGGATGACTAAGTCTTAAAACCCAAGGTATACACTGGAGAGATTCTCATTCTATTTAATAATAAAAGCAATGTTCTGGGCAGGGACATTAAGGACACTGATCCTTCAGAAGTAAAGATGTGGAATACTTAACTAGGAAAAGAACACTGAAGTACCACAGTACTGTGAGTAGATGAGAGGACTTTAAGACCAAAGTTGCCACTCGTTCTAAATTACCAAGGTGGAAAATGTAGCATCCATGCATGTGTTAATCGATCTGTGTGCACATTATTGGACATGCCAAAACTATCCTGTGGAATGTGTATTAATCTTTATTAAGTAGATGAGTAAACTACTTAACCTTATTTAGTAGATAAGTAGGCACCTAGCAGAATCGGTGCTGAATCCACGTCTGCTTTATTATGAGACCTAACCCTCAGTGATGGCTTACTCATCTGCTGGAAACAACAAAGGGTCTGCCGTGTTTAAAGCAGTCAATTTGAGTGTCTACAAACTCAGTTTTAAAAAAAAAAAATCAAGGAAGAAGTGATCTGTATCTGTTCTGCTTTCTGGGAATATTTATGTTCCTGAAATTGAGTACAATCTGGAATTGTCACCTGATAATCTTTCACGGAGAAAGAAAAACTTTTAAATAGACCTGGAAATTTCAAAGCATGAAGTATTTTTAGGTTTTCTATATCTTGAACTTTCCTTTATATTTGTTTAGACATTTCTTGGTCCCTTATAACTTAATAAGTTTATGTTGAAAGGAACTGAGAATTCCAGTCTCGCCACCCTTTTCTCCTCTACAGTTTATGTCCACTCATTGCTAGCTGCCTTGAAACTTCTACTCTCTCAGGGATGTTGCCAAAATGAGGCTCTTTCCTATACCTTCAGCTCTAGTGCTCTTATGTCTACTATGTCACCTCAAGCAAGTAGCTTCACTATGTTCAGCCTCAGTGTGTCTCCTGCAATGTGACTGTAAAAACCCCTAAATCACCAAATTGTTATATAGCTTAAAAAACATAACCAGACACATCAGTATTATACATGATAGCCCAAAGGTGGAAGCAAGCCCAGTGTCCCTCAACATATGAACGGATAAACTAAATGTATATATTATTCAGTCTTGAAAAGGAAGAATATTGGCACATGTGACAATAATGGATGAACCTGGAGGACATCATGGTAAGTGAAGTAGCCATGAGACAAATACTTTGATTCCACTTACATGAGTCATCTACATTAGTCAAATTTACAGAGGCAGTAAGTGAAGGGGTGGCTGTCAGGGACTGGAGGAGGCATATAAATGGGTACATTTAATGTTTAAGGGGTAGAGAATTTCAGGTTAGGCTGATGAAAAAGATCTGCAGGTGGACGATGGTGGTTACCCAACAATGAGTGTACTCAATCATGTAAATGATTAGGATGGTAATTTTTATGTTCTATGTATCTTATCACAATAATGACCTGAGACTATCCCTAGTTCAGTGACAAGAATACCGTTTTTTGTTTTGTTTTTTTTCTTCAATAAATGCCAAGTCCGTTGCACTCATTGGAATGACACCTGCCTTAGCCTTCGTGGAACAAATCTCTCACCCCTGGATTTTAAAAGAATATCCGTTATGTGAAAAAGAATTCATTTCTGGAAGACGGCACATGATGGCAAGCAAAAGATAGCGCCCTGCCTTGCCTCTGCATCCAGACCTCCTCAAGAGCAGCTCCCAGACGTGGACACAGCACCTAGGTGTGGGGTGAGGATCAGTGTCAAAGCAGCCACACTTCCATTTGCACAGAAACATTTTAGTCAAAGGAGACACACGGCAGGGGGCGTGCCCTCAGCTGACTGCTCTGTGCTTTCCCTGGTCCCTGCTTCCCAGAAGCCAGAGGCAGCTGACACCGCCCGCCTCCGCTTTGCTTTCTCCCGCCCACATCCCCTCTCTCCTCTCTAACTAGTCGCCTCTCTCCTCCCCACGCCCTTCAGTTCTCCGCTCCTCCCATTGCTCCTCCCACTGCTCCTCCCATTTCCTTTCAGGCTCGCCTCTGAGAGGAAAATGAAAGTGAAATAGGGAGCCACGGCCAACTGATCAGGTAAGTGGGGCCGGCTAGACCAAGGCACCCCCGTCCTGCCGAGGGGACCTCTCCCCCATGCCAGGATTTGAAGAGCCCCTTCCAACCAGTGACCACCCTAGAGCACTTAGTCCTAGCGCCTTCTGGACAGTAGTGCTGGCTCCCCATGCCCAGGGGTTCATCCCATGCTGGCCTGTCTGGGAGGAAGCTACGCTCTGAGTGACTTCAGAGTCGCCTGGCAGGGGCTCCCGCTGCCCTGGATGCAGGTATCTCAGCTGGGACAAGGGGATTGGTGAAGCTGGGAGGAATTAGCATTATAACTGAGCCCAGAGGGTGGTCCAGGGGAACCTACATGAGACGACCCCCCTCCCCCTGCCGAAGTCCCCCTTCTGGGGGTTGAGGGGCAGCCCGTTTAGAATGTTCACCTAGAGGAAGTGGAGTCAGGTTCTAAGTTTGGAACAGCTGAGAGATCCCAGTGAGTGCTGTGTATGTGTCTGTCTGTACGCATATGTATCCTTGAATGCACATACATATATTCAAAACATCTGTATATAATATACATTTACATTTATTTTGACATAAGCAATCATACATCCCTTAATGATGTACTATTAACTGATTTCACTGTTATGCAAGCATCAGAGTGTACTTACACAAACCTAGATAATGTAGCCTATTACACACCTGGGTTATATGATATAAACTATTGTTGTACCATAGTGCAGTCCATCACTGACCAGTATGTCATGTGGCGCATGACTGTATGTCACCCAACTCCTGCCATTATTTTATAGATTAATGAAGACCAGGTGTAAAACATGAATCACCTCTGTGGAGTGTGGAAGGTACATGGTAAATGGTCACTGTTATAATTAGCTTATAATTGACATGAGGCTTGGTGGCATGAGATGGGAGAATGTAGATGGGAAAAGACTGGGCACTGAGGATTTAAGCAGGGATGGGCATGATGAAAGTATCACTCATCATGTATAATTCAACAGCTTTACCTCTAAGGTTCCCACCAATCTTCTCTACTTCCTCTGGAGACTTGATTTCCTCCTCTGACTGGATCATTGGGCCAGACTACAGAGAGGTCCTTGGTGGTCAGTTTGATAAATTCTTATTTTCACTCCTCCAGTTCATTCTCATGTCTTCCTCTTATAGACTAGTTATAGATAGTTTTTCTCATACAAACCTCATCTTCTCTTTTCCCTTATTCTCTACCCATAAGCCTCCCCAAAATCTTCAGTTCTGCTTAAGAGGGACATCACCACTATGGCCTCAGCAATACCCCTGGAAATGATGTGGGAAGAGGTCACATGTGCTATCTGCCTTGATCCCATGGTGGATCCTGTGAACATCGAATGTGGCCACAGCTTCTGCCAAGAATGCATCTCTCGGGTTGGGAAAGACGGAGGCAGTGTCTGTCCTGTGTGCCGGCGGCACTTTATGCTCAGGCACCTCAGGCCCAACCGGCAGCTAGCCAACATGGTGGAAAACCTTCGACGAATAGGCCAGGATGCCAAGAAAGACACACAGGGAGCGCGCTGTGCTGTGCATGGAGAGAAACTTCACCTGTTCTGTGAGAAAGATGGGCAGGCCCTTTGCTGGGTGTGTGCCCAATCCAAGAAACACCGTGACCACACCATGGTCCCTATTGAGGAGGCTGCTCAGGAATATCAGGTGAGACATTAGCACAAACACTGGAATCCCTGGAGAAGATGGGCCCTGATGAGTGTCTGTTCCCTAGAGCAGCAGAAAGAAAAGAGCTACCTCTGGAGTTGAAGTTGGGGGAAAAGGAGGAATACTTCTTTCCTTCCCTGTCTAAGGGGAAATTGCAGGTTACAACCTTCTCCTCCCAAGGATAGGGGATCTGCTATGGGAAAATACTTCAAAGATCATGTTTCCTCTTGGCCTCCTGGTTAATTAGAAATGAGTAATACCCCCATCCTGCCACCCCATTAGAAGAGCTCTGTTTCATAAGACGTATTAGGCTTTTGCCAAAGTAAAATTTTGGAGTAGGAATTCTGTAGATGGGAATTCCTGTGTCAGTCAGTCTCTAGTCCTCCCTCCTTCTTTGTACTTGGTCTTTTTCTAAGAACCAATATGATCTTGCCCCAATCCACACCCCTCATCCTACTTTTTGGTCTGGTGAGGGATTAACCTGCTATCCTTCTCCACAGGAGAAGCTCCAAAAGGCATTAGAGAAACTGAGAAAAAAGCAGGAGTTGACCGAGAAGTTGGAAGTGGATCTTGCAATGAAGAGAGCAGACTGGAAGGCAAGAGTTAAAGTCTGGGAAGGGCCCAGGTTCTTGAACTTGGGGAATCTTAACTAGCTATACCTTTGAGGAGGAATGGAGTTGGTATATCTCACTCTATGAATGGTCTACCTCCTAGGTCTCTGTGCCTGTTAAAAAGCCCCCATTCTTTTTATTCCTCTCTATACAAAGATTGAGCATCACTGGAGAAGGTACTGAAAGGCTCAAACTGAGCTATTCTGAGCCCAGTTTCAGGGGATTACAGCATCAGCATTTCAGTGTCTGTGACAGAGTTATCCTAAGAAAGAAACCAACTGTGAGGCCATATTAGTAAATGGAAGGGGCTATGAAGACAGACTGAAGGAATCCATCAAGGTCAGAGGCAGGAAAAAACAGTCTGACCAGATAGTTGCTTGACCGTGTCCAGGTCTCTGGCCCAAAGTATAATGGAGAACTAAAGCCTATTCCAAAATGGTGATTTTTTTCTAGAAGAGGTAGGGAGTGTCCAGGATCAGAGGGCTATGGAAGGATCTCAGTACATATACCCTTTTGCCACTTATACCCTGACAGTGGTAAAAGAGTATATTCTATGTTATTGGTTGGCCCTCTAGTCTCTAGCAGGAAAGGGCAATCCAAGAATATCCCAAAGCCACCCTTTCCCTGGAATTTAGGAATGGTATTGTGATCCTGTCTTTGTGAAGTTGTCATGAGTGAGAGCAGGTTTTACTCTCTGTAACTCCTTGAGATGCAAAGGACAAATGGACTTTCAACTGCATTTTGGAAGAAAGGTTGAGAAGTATCTGCTGATGCCATATGTTGATGTGGCAGTGATTGTAGGATAGCTACAATGTGCCCCGACCACTACCAATGCTAGTTCCAGAAGCTTCATACACTTGCCTACCAAAGTCCCCAGAAAATTGTGTGTGTGTGAGTTCTCAGACATAATCAGACTGTTGAGTCTTCAAGAGACAGAAATAGGCAACAACACCTCCATCCCCAAAGCTTGGGAAATTTTCATAGAAACCATCTCTTTCTCCTCACATAAAGAGGCAGGTTGAGACACACAAATCAAGGATTCATGCAGAGTTTATGCAGCAGAAAATCTTTCTGGATGAAGAACAACAGAGGCAGATGCAGAAGCTGGAGAAGGATGAGATGGAACAACTTAGAATCCTGGGGGAGACGGAAGCTGAACTGGCCCGGCAAAGCCAGGCCCTGCAAGAGCTGATCTCGGAGCTGGAGTGGAAGAGTCGGGGCTCAGCACTGGAGCTCCTGCAGGTGAGTTGGGAAGAAGGGTTCTAGGAGTGATTGAGGGAAAAAATTGAGATAAATATCTAACCATGAGGAGGTTTTTAATAAATACAACTAAAAAAAATGAAGTGAAACTTAAGAGACAGTGGCTCCTGCTCTGCCACCAATTCTCTCCACAACTCTAGCTTAAGCCCCTTTTCTTTTCTAGACCTGTCGTCTCTATTTTTGATACCAGTGGACTAAATAACGATAGTTCTCCTACTGTTACTCATAAGCACATCATCTGTACACTCTCTGCTATTTCTACGGACTAAATGATCTTAATGTTATTTTTCTTTAAATTGCCTCACTTTTTCCTGAATACATTTAGTTTTAAAAGATTTTTTCTAGAACAATAGTAGCCAATTTTCATGTATTTCTTAATAACTACAAATTCTTACAATACATATGACTTGCCAAACTTTGTGGGTGATACTACTTTCCATTTCATAAATAAGACAACTAAGAAATAGTTGTTAAGAGATGTTAATCAGACTAAATCAAATGATTTAACGAAGTTCACTGAAGTAGTAAAAGTAAAGATTAACTTTGCTTTTTTTTTTTTTTTTAATGTATGTATGTCCTGCTTAAAATCATCTTGCATCCACCAATGGGTTATGTTGTCCTCACTTTGGAAAACAAAGTGGTATCAGAAGTCCCTCTGCTCTAATGTTCTATGGTTCTTTTCCCACACCTTTCCAGTCAGATGTGGTCATGAAAATAGTCCTGTTTCTTGTTGTTGTTCTTGTTTTAAAGACAGAGCCACTGTCTGATTTATATTGGCTTGACTTGGCAGGCTGTCTTCTGCCCAACACTGAACTGGACTTCCTGATGCCCTTTTGATTGGGCCTAGGAGTGAGCCAGTTCCCATGTGAGGGCCTCCAGCCCTGCAATCTAATATGCTCAGTTGATTGGACAACATTACCCACAGCACAGGACACAGCATTAACTAAACCTTCTCCAAACAACTCGGCCCACAAGTAAAAGGGTGCTGTTTCTGGGCATCCTACCTGAGCCTCTTTCCCCGTGACTGTCTCTGGGCTTTTCTCAGGCTGTGCTATTTTCCCTCTTCCACCTTCCTTCCTCCCCCAACCCCCTCTAAGAATCTGATCTTTCCAATTTGTTTTCTGAATCGGAGTCCTTAAACTGAGGATCCTTCCCTGGCTGTAGGATACACCTATGCTGGGTTTCTGGTTACCCCACAAGCATCCCCACATTCTTTCTGCTACAAGCTGGTCAGAATCATCATTTGGGCCTTGGACCAGAGGACCAGGGCAAAGCGGATCCCCAGGGATCAGAGGGTGATACCACCTTACCACAACACTAAACTCTACATTTGAGTCTGAAACTCCAAAACTTACACTCTCTCTCTTTTCTCCTCAGGAGGTGAAAGTTGTCCTGGAAAGGTAAGGAGAAATTTTCTCCCCAAAAGAATGGGTGGCAGGAAGCGCATATCTATTGATTGACGGGAAAAATTTCAGGGCATGCCTTTCTACATATGCCTCCCAAATCTCAAAGACCTGACCCTCTATAAAATATTTTCTGGTCTCATAAAGCTAATAAATGGACACCTCAATTGGTAAATTGTCCAAAGTAATCAGACTATCGCATTATCATACAGTAAAGCTCCAACAAACAAGGATGTTCTGGGAAGTTCTGAATCCACAGCCTGCTGGGACTTATTTTCTAGATGTGACCTAACCAGTTGCAAACCTCTCAGAATGAGCCATGAGTAAGATCCACAGCATGGGCAAGATTCCTCAAGGTTCATTAGAGAAGTGATTCAGCCTATATCACATGCCTTGCCTGTAAAATGAAACAGAACACACTTGTGTGTTGACCCTGGGCTTGAGAAGAACTGTAGAATACCCACAGTCTGCAGAGGTTCATGGACCCAGGAACTCTTTGATAGAAATTAAACACCATATTCTTTCTTTTTTTTTTTTTCCTCTCACCTGGACACTAGAACATGAGGTGTTTATAAGTTTCATTAGGATGTAGGATAGAAGTGGGAGACAGATCTCGAATTCTTTCCCCCAGGAGTGAGTCCTGGAACCTGAAGAAGCTGGACATTGACTCCCCAGACCTAAGAAGTATCTGTCACGTGCCAGGACTAAAGAAAATGCTGAGGACCTATGGAGGTGAGGTGACCTCTAGGAGTTGCTAGGTTAGAGCAAAAGGGAATAATGGGAGGGCAGAGGATCTCGGGGGTCAAGAAGGAGAGGTGGCAGGTCAGAGTACATGGGGAATAGTTAGAGAAGGTTCCTTCAGATGTCAGGATAAGGCTGGAGTTGGCTGGGTGTCATTTCATCATATGATGTTCAGGGTCACCCCCTCAATGGGGAGTGTCTCCCCATGAGGAGCACAGGATTACTGACACTGCCCCTATAACACACAAGACCTATGTCCTCTTTCTGTAGTATACATCACTCTGGATCAAGACACAGCCAATCCATGGCTCATCCTTTCAGAGGATAGGAGACGAGTGAGACTTGGAAACACCCGACAGGATGTACCAGAAAATGAAGAGAGATTTGATAATTACCCTATAGTCCTCGGTGCCCAGAGCTTCAACTCTGGAAAACACTACTGGGAGGTAAATGTGACAGGAAAGGAGGCCTGGGACCTGGGGGTCTGCAAAAACTCTGTACGGAGGAAGGGGCAATTTTTGGTCAATACTGAGAATGGTTTCTGGACAATTTGGTTGTGGAACAAAGAAAAGTATGAGGCTGGCACTTGTCCCCAGACTCCCCTCCATCTTCAGGTGCCTCCGTGCCAAGTTGGGATTTTTTTGAATTATGAGGATGGCATCGTCTCCTTCTATAACATCACAGATCATGGCTCCCTCATCTACACCTTCTCTGAATGTGCCTTCACGGAACCCCTGCGGCCCTTCTTCAACCCTGGTTTCAATGATGGAGGAGGAAATGCAGGCCCTCTGTCCCTCTGTCCACTGAAAACGGGATGGTCAAAATCGGGTGTCCCTTCTCAGCCATGAACCCTGCCTTTATCCCATGAACTCTGAACTATCTTGTCTCTGCATAGGTGGCAGGGTCTCGGCAAGCAGGCTTTAGCAGGGAGATCACTGAAAGCCAGATGACCTTCAATATCAATATCCCTGCCCTAGATTCCTTTAGGATGCCCTCAAGTGAAGGCAATTCCTCATATCTGACTCAAAACTCGACCAAAAACCATGTTTCTGCCTCCTTTATGTGACTTGTATAACAATATCTATCTCCAGGCTATTACCTTTGGCCTGTCTTTTTCATGGTTTGGAAAAGGGCTTCCTAAATACATTGTGCTTTCAGTCTCCAATTTACTCATTGTTCCTTAAACCCCAAATATTGAGGTTCCCTACTGTGCTGGGGATTGAACCTGGGACCTAATGCATGCTAGGCAAGCACTCTACCACTGAGCCACAATCCACAGACTTAAACCCCAAATACTTGAACAGTTCTAAACATAATTAATGTTGGTGGGTTTTGGGGGTTTTTTTAGCATTGTACAAGGTTTGTGGTTTTTTGTTTTTGTTTTTTGTTTTTTAATACAGCCCTTGCTGCTCTGCCATTGCAACTTATTTTTTAAATGGACCTTTCTTTCTCTTCTCTCCCTGCTCCTCCCTAGTCTTGGGGAAGCAGGATTACCTTTCTTCCCCATTGTAACCAGATTTATCTGTCCTTGAGTACACACCCACCTTAGGAACAAAGTAACCCAAACTTTGGGGATGGTACCACAAAATCAGAAATGACTGTCTCCCAAATAAGTGAGTTGCAACTCTGACAGAACACGGGGAATGTGGTTTCTGAATCACCTCTTTAAAAGCCCCCTTGTTCCTGCTGATGGGCAGAATCACTGCCTTTGGGACAGGAGTCCCCTATGTATCTCCTTTGCTCAAAACTTTGTCCTTGTTATTGAATTGCCATGGGGGACAAGAACTGAGCTTTCAGCAAAAACACCTTCTGTCCATGTTCTCATATTTTTACAAGTGATAACATCAAAGTTCCTGGAACACTGTTCATATAGTCCAGCCTGGAACAACCCCCTATTATGATTTGGATAGGGGGTATTCCCCCAAAAGTTCATGTCATCCAATGCAGCCATGTTCAGGGGTAAAATGATTATGAGAGCTATGACCCAATCAGTGACTGATTCATTAAATGTATTAACAGTTTGAAAGGATTGCTGTACTAGATGTAACTACAGGCAGGTGGGATGTGGCTGGAGGCAATAGGTCACAGTAAGCCCTTGGAGATTATCTCTTCACACCCTGGCTCTTTGCTTTATCTGGGTTGTGGGGTTTTTTTGTTGCTTTTATTTTTTATGGTTGCCACTACCATATGATGAGCTGCTTTCCTCTACCCCACCCTTCTACCATGATGTTCTGCCTCACTTTAGGCCCAAAGAAATGGAGTTAATCAGCCTTGGATTGAACTTCTGAAACTGAACCCAAATAAACGTTTCCTCCTCTAAGTTGTTCTTGTCAGGTATTTTTGTCACAGGAATAAAAAGCTGATGAACATGCCCCCTGATTTCATTGTTCTTCCCAGAAAAATGGCAAACTCCTACTCTCCCTAGAACATCCAGTTTTATCACCCCACTTTCAAATTCCCCTTTCTTTAGGCAAGTATTTCTGGTTTACATAGAATAAGTGTTTCTAAGACATAGCAGAGAAGGGTGGCTGTGGCCACATCTCTAATTATGAGGAAGTGGTTTTGAGCCTGGAGAAATATGTCTGTCAGCATGCATTCCAGGTCAGCAGGTGACACACAGAACCAAGGAGAAAGAACAAGTTTGTCTTCCAGGTTCTCCTAAAAAGATACTTCTGAGGATGAAGTATCCCATCATCCAAGGTGAGGAGAGGATTTGCTTTTATTTTCCCCTCCATGCAAATAGTGATGGTGAAATGAGTTTCATCTCCTTCCTGTTGTGACCAGCTTACCTCATCTCAAAGTCCTGCCCCCAGCGCACATCTCCAGCTTGAATGGTTTGATGGTGGAAAGCGGTGTGTGTGAAAGGGCATAAAAAAGAAATCCAAACCATGGATTCGGCCACTAACAAGCTCTCTCAAATATGTGCACCTCAGGCCTGTGTGTCTGGAGCAGGAGTCTCCCTATGGGAGGACAGAATAGGCACAATTGCAGTGACCAACATTGCATTTCTGTGGAGAGGGCATAGCATCTGACAGCCTCAGCAGAAAGAGATCCAGGAGGGTAGTGTGGTTTCTGGGTTCAGAAGTTGGAGGTGGGACACAGACTCTGCCTAGAGTATCATAAGTATGTTGTGACAACTTCCTCCTTTTCCTTCTCCTTGCTTTCTCAAACACAGAGCATCCTTCATCATCTGTTTCCTCTCTGATAGAAGAGACTATTCTGCCTGTTCTCACCTCTTCCTTTCCTCCAGATTCAAGACGACTTGGATGATTCTGCCCCATCCCACTCACCTCACCCCTCTCCCTTGGAATTCCAACCCCTCAGTCCTGTTGTAACCCATGTTGTCCCCAAAGATTGGGCTCATTTTACCTTTCAGAATTGTGGAACCAATAAGATGGATTGAACAGTGAAGGAGACTTTTAATTCATGAATGATAATAGAAGTGGGAGATAAACTCACGAATCAACTTTCCACCCCTTGGGGACTAAAAGCAGAACAGAAAAGTTTTAAATGTATCCACAATTTACCCTGTGTTATGTAGAGTCAGGATCCTATTTATACTTAGTTCTCTCACACCCTTATAATAAATCTACAATCAGGACATAATCAAGACATTTGGGGATTATGGCAACCCCCATATCAAATTCAAACAAATGTATTTTAAGTGATATTAAATGCATGTATATGATTAATATAGGTTCTGTCTAGATGGTTTTTGTGTGTGTGTGTGTGTGTGTGATGCCCTTGGATAAGTGAATTACAGATAGTTTTGTTTAATTTGGTTAGTTTGGTTTTGATTTGCCTCTTTCTGTTACCACTAAGCACATGCTAAGACTTTAAGAGAATAAGTAATTTTCCCAAGGTCAAACATTTCATTATCACCAGTGAAGTCAGAATTCAAACCAAGTCTGATCCAAAAGCTCATGTTCTTTCCTAAACAATACCCTTCTCTAGTTCACATGGCAATCTGACTCACTTTGAGTCACTTTGCTGTTAGTGGAACTCCCAAGTCATAAGCCTCTACAGAGTAGGCACAAAAAAAGAGAGGGTCTAACATTAGTAAATATACCACCCAATCAAACTCGGCATCATTTCCACTGTAATGACAAAGTACTGAGCACACGCTCTCGAATCTGCCTGGTCTTGATCCCATAAATAATGGGATTCATCATGGGAGGGGCCAACATGCAGACATTGGCCAGAAGAATGTGGGTATGGAGAGGAACATGGTGCCCAAACCTCTGGGTAATTATGGTAAAAATGCCAGGCAAGTAAAACATGGAAATGACCCCAAGGTGGGAACCACATGTGCCTAGAGCCTTTTGCCAAGCTCTTCTGGAAGGAAGGTGGAAGACTGCATAAAGGATGAGGCTGTAGGAAACTAAGATGAGCAAGGCATCTAGCACCACAGTGGAGAGGAGGACAGACAAGCCATACCAAACATTGACACGGATATCAGCACATGCAAACTTGGCCACAGCCATGTGCTCACAGTAGGTATGCGGCAACCGATTGCTACGGCAGAAAGGCAGTCGCTTCACCAGGAACACATCCGGGAGTATCACGCAGAAGCTTCTCAAGGCCACAGCCAGGCCAATTCTTGTGATTACTGCACGGCTGAGCACTGTGCTATAGTGCAGGGGGTCACAGATGGCCACATAGCGATCAAATGCCATTGCCAACAAAATGCCTGATTCGGCAATGAAAGTTGCATGGATGAAGAAGATTTGGGTGACACAACCATCAAGGGAGATTTCCCCAGCATGAAACCAGAATATGGCCAGGGCCTTGGGCACAGTGGTCGTGGACAGGACGAGGTCAGCTGTAGCCAACATGCAGAGGAAAAGGTACATAGGTTCATGGAGGCTGTGTTCCGTCATGACGACGAGGATGAGGAGGCTATTCCCAAGTAGGGAAACAAGGTAGGAAAGAAAGAAGGGGAGAGAGATCCATGTGTGTTGGTCTTCCAGGCCAGGGATGCCCAGCAGAATGAAGAGTGAGTGGCTGGTATCAGTGTAGTTGAAGGTTGCCATACCTACAGCAGGTCACCAGTGTGTTGGTGTGTAGGATTTGGTAGTTACTCTTCTCTCTTCCCAAAAAGCTGAATGGGATGGAAGTAGGGGAGGAGAGAACAGATCATTTTTCATTGGGAAAAGCAGTGAAAAGCCTGCTGGTCAGGGATTGCAGAGATGTGGAAGAAAATTCCTTGCCATTCTATTTGCTAGCTATGTATCTCGATAAATCACTTCTGAGCTGTGGGTCTCTCTTATATCACCTTAACTACAGTCAGGAGAGGATGAAGTAGATCAACTTTAAGACAGGTCACTCTGCTCAGAAATGCCACAGATCTTAGTCTCAAATTTTTATAAACAGTTAAGAGCTATGAAAAATGAGCACGGTAATTTTCACTTTGATTTCCAGAGTTTGATGTTTCTTAAAAGGAAAATGGTAACTGAGTTGCCTATCAGTTTAACAAGCCCCACTGAGCACCTACTGTGTGCCAGGCATGGCTGCTTGGGGGCATACTTAGAGGGAGACAGAAATTAAGCAAAATACCTATCTACATAATTTTACAATGTAGGGGAAAAGCTAAACTCGGGAAGCTATGGTAAGTTCAGGAGTCCAGAAAAGGCTTTCTAAAGGTGCTCCCTGAGTTTCACCTTGAAGAATAAGTAAAAGTTTGCTAAGAGAGGTGATGAGGGAATAACTTGAATAAAATCATAGACATGTGAAAGGGCATGGGATTTGGAGGAAAATTATAATGGCTCAAAGATAACAGCAAAGCAGACATGGTAGAAAATGACTCTGGAGAGTGAAGTAGAAACCAAATCATTGAGGACTTTGAGTACTTCTCTCATGGCTTTAGAATTTATGATAAAGTGATAAGAGAGACTGAAGGATTTGTAGTGTTAAAAGGAAAATTATGAAAACATTGAAATTTTTTCAAAATGAAATCAAGGCCATTGAGGGAGCATGACTTACATACATCTGAAGCTGCCACCTGGAATGTGACTTTGGTCACCTTCACCTTTTAACTGTAGGCAACTGGAAGAACTAGGTTATTTACATTGTCATGCACACAAAAAGATTTTCAGACTCTTGTTTTCTGGACATTCCCATTGTACATCTTCTTATTTTCCACTGGTCACTAGTCCCTGTTCTTTCTCCACATTTCCATAGACGTTTCCTACAAAGGAAGTTTTGCATCTTTTTTATTGATTTTTTTTAATAAATGAAAGCAGAATGAGTTTTGCATCTTTATAATCAGCACTGCTTGCCCCTAGAACTCCCACTTTCCCTGCCTTCTTCGAATACTGATTGAGAGCTATCTGAATCTGTACTTCCCAAATTGCAATTCCTAAGACCCGAAACAAAGTTCTTTTGTTTTTACAGTTTCTGAGTTTAACTTGATTGACAAGAGTGAGGGAATGGCATGAGGAAGTTTGGTTTCTGGTAGCTCTCTTGCAGTATGGTGTGAAGTGGATGGGGAAGGGAGGACTTCATTAAGTAGAGACACTATGCTTTAGGTGCATTATCTCTGTCACCACAGCCTGAGATAACTGTAGTCATTTTCCTATTTTACTGATAGGAGAACAAGCAGAACTGAGAGAACTTAAGAAGTACCCCCACCCAAGGTCACCCGACTTGACAAATAATGGGCCTGGAATTTGGATCCCCAGAGCAAACTTGAATCAATTCCTCTCTGCCCTACTTCTCCCTGCTCCTACTAATCAGGTGGTTGTAGCTCCCTGACTCCTGGTTTTCAAGAAGAAAAATAAAGTCATTTGTTGTTAATTTCCTCGTACTGCTTGTTCTGCCACTACAAATCTATTTATATTCATATCATCTTTTCCAAATGTTCAACATCTCTAGTAACTAGATAAATGCAAATCAAAACTACACTGAAGGGCTGGGGATATGACTCAGTAACTAGAGTGCTTGCCTCACATGCCCAAGACCCTTGGTTCAATTCCTAGCACCACACAGATTCCATCTCACTCCAGTCAGAATGGCAATCATCAAGAATACAAGCAACAACAAAAGTTGGCAAGGATGTGGGGGGAAAGGCACACGCATACATTGCTGGTGGGACTGCAAATTGGTGCAACCATTATGGAAAGCAGTATGGATATTCCTCAGAAAACTTGGAATGGAACCACAATTTGACCCAGTTATTCTACTCCTAGGTTTATACCAAAAGGACTTAAAGTTGGCATACAACAGAGATTACACGACCTGTGTAATTCTACATCATGTACAACCAGACAAATGGGAAGTTATACTCTGTTTATGTTTGTGTCCAAATGCATTCTACTGTCATGAAAATTATCTTTCCCCTCTTCCTCCTGTTTAAGGCTAAACCCATCTGTACACTGAACCCCAGCCCTGTCTTCTCTTTACTTACCTCTCCCCATTAATCCATCACTCTCTAGTAATTTCAACTTCTCCCTCTCTGGTGACTCCTGATCCTTGCCTGTAAATATATTTAAGTGTCCAGTTCCCCTTCACCTCAGTTTTATAAAAGGAGGAATCTGCTTTCTTCATCCATCTTCTTCCCTCCCTCTTAATATTCACACATTGCCATTATACCTAAAACCCCCAACATACTACTAAAACTTCCTTCTCTAAAATCGTTTATTACACCACAATTACCAAATCTAACATCACTTTTCATCTTATTATTTGTAATCTCCAATTTCTGTTATAACTTCTAAATTTTATAATAGCAACCATTACATACCTGAGTATTAGACATATTTCTTATTTCTAATCCTCATGTCAAATTATGAAACTGAAATTATTACTAGCTTACAAGTGAAGAAACTAACATATATAATTTCTCCAAACAACTTATTGATAGCCAGGCTGATATCTGAATCTAAGATTCTCCGGGCCAAATCTTCCATTTGTTTTTAAAATCTTCCTTTTGTTATTCTGATTACCCTAAAATACATTTGTTGTTGTTGTTGTTTTGTTTTGGTTTTTGTTCTTTGGGTCTTGGTTTTTGATTTTTACCTCAACCCCTTCCAGTTCTACTTTTTATGCTATAACTTCTGAAAATCTAAGACACTGTAGCCTAGGAAAAAATGATGTGAGCTTTAGAATCAGACCTGGGTTCAATTCCAGCTCTGCCAGCTACACATATCACTCATGGTATGGTTACCGTCACACAAATACTCACACACAAATTGCGACGAGGATTTATCCACTGACACACATTTTCACAGTTCACATGAATAGACGTTTACCATGAAACTTTACACACAAACACATTTAACCTTTCCCACGTTTGTACCCACACAAATTCACAGTCACTAATTTTCTTATCAAACTCACTCTCACCGAGATACTGTGTGACTTAACAAAAGTCATATATCTGCCTGTCTTCATTCAACATTACCACTTTCCTCTCAAGAAGTTGGTTTCCTCGGAGAAGTGGCACCTCAAGAGTCCATTCCCCTGGTAGCCTGCCTCCAGCATTACAGTCCCCTCACCTGTGCTAGAGGGGACTCCCACAAACGTGTAATTCACAGGACAGCACAACTACTTCATCAGTTCCACGTTGAATTGCCCAAGTTTGAGTCGGAGATATGATACATGAATGCTGGTTAAGACTTTATTCCTGGGATCATCAGACTGAAGCCTGGGAAGGAAATCATGCTCACCACCTGCTGTGGTAAATAAAGTTTTGTTGAAACATAGCCACTTTCATTTATTTGCATATCACCTATGGCTCCTTTTGTAGGAAGTGATTGAATAAACCACATTTGAAGCCTTAAATATTACTCTGGGCCTTTACAAATTTCCTGACCTCTGAATTAGAATAACCATGTAATTATTATTTATAAGGGTGTTGAAAGGGAAGGCAATTTCCCAGGGTCACAGAAGAAAGCAGTTAAAGAAGTCTAGAAGCAGAAGTCTAGAAGCAGTAGAAGCACCAAGCTTCCACAGGAACATTTTGGTCTATCTTCTGCAACTCTGTTCTTGAAGGACAGAGAATTCTAAATATACCCTCTACACAGTGACCAAAAAGGAAGGCATTCCATCATTGTTCTCCATGTCTCTCATCAGTATTTCCCCTACCTTACCTTCTTTATCCCCATACACAGTCAGACCCCACAGTCCATGCCCAGGGACAGAAGGACCCACAGAGGCACAAAGCTATCTTGGTCAACATGCATCTCTCCTCACTCCAAAGTGTTCATCACAGCCTTCCATAACCACCACCTGGAGCTGTGCCCCTGACTTCATCCCAGGAAGTCCCCACAGCCAAAGGCTATGTGTAACAAACCAAGCTGGCGAAGGAACTGCAGGAGAAATCATTTTTTCTCTGAGCATCCTAGGGACCATGGACCTATCCATGTGATTTTCTTCTCCCCTAGGATCTCCTCTACTTCCCATGACTTAACTAAAAATCCATTAACTCTTTCAAGGCATGGTTACTGGGAGCCCAAAATTTTTTTTAAAAATGCTTGAAGGGCATCCAAGAGTTTGGGAGAAATTTGTTGGGAGAGAGCTGGGGTCCTATAGGTTTTTTAAACACTTATTTGTTCATTTGCCACACATTCAACCAACATAGACTAAGTGCTAACTCCATTGACAGTACCTTAATAAAATGTTGAACAAAGTCAAGTCCATTTAAAATATGTGCATATGTGTGTATATACATATTGTTTTATCTATGGAATTAATATTTCATCCAGTGAATAGTAATGAGATATTTTCATTGATAATCCCACCAAGCTTCTTTATTCCCTGTTTTGGGGAATTTACATAGTTGAGATCATTCTGTACATCTGGCATGCTCTAAGTTCCCATTTTAACGAATGTTCTGTAACCACATTGCTCCTTTAAATTTCCTAAAAACTTTTAGGAAATCATATTTATTTTTTAAATATATTTAATTGTGTGTACAATCTGATGTTATGGGATACAGACAGGTAGTAAAATGGTTACCATAGTGAAGCAAATTAACACATCCATCATCTCACACAGTTATCCTTTTTTCATTTTTGTGGCAAGAGCAGTTAAA